TGGGCGGTGTGATACTCCACTACCTCTCCCCTTCCTTCTGTGCATGTATGGGCGTGTACGGGAGTTCCTGTGAGTGAGTGCTGATAAAATTTCGGAAGACAATCATGTTCATAACAGTTGGTATCGGAGCAGATTGGACCCAGACAGTGGCGAGATGATGGACTGAGGCAGCCATCACTACCTGAGAGCTTCTGACGTAGGGTTTCGTGGCGAAGCTTCATCTTCAGTGTTGCACTCAGTAGGGTGTTGGTGAAGAGTGTGTGGCGAGTGGTATGACACAGGGATTGGTGGCGATTCAGTGCTCAGTGGCCTGTGAGGCACATAGTGGCTATTTTTAGCCCAAGTGGTGACTCTGCTAGTGGCGAGATACCTGGGGTTATGCCGAGTTGCAAATTCTGGACCAGGTTCAAAGAATTTGGCTAGTGGGGGTTATTCGCCACATCAAGAGCTTCAGTATCTCCAAGTTTCAGGAGATTTTGAATGTGGGAGCACCAGGAACAGTGGGTGGAAGAAACTGGTGAGATGGCAGCCATAGCCAATTCAACTTCTTCATGCAGTGTTTTGACCTAAAGTGAGTGTGTTCCTTACTCAAGTCCCTGCAGCGAGTCGGATGAGTGTAATTAGACTGGGGAAATAGTAGTTGTATGTCTGTTGTCAGTGAAATTTGAAATTCGCACTGCCTGACAGCCATAGCCAATTCTCCTACCTATCTACTTTGACTCCTATTGACTCTGTTTGACCTCCTCTCTGTCTCAAATTGCATCTCAGACTGTATTACAGTATTGCGATTCAGTATTCACTGTGAATTGATGAGTTCAGGTTTTGGATGTCAGTGATAATGGAATTCTGAATATTGCGCTGCCATAGCCAGTACCCGAGTTTAGATAGGGTTTGTCATAACTTAGGTTCTGTCTGTCAGAATTTCAATCTGTCAGTCACCTTGAAATCGCAATTTAGTAATTAGTCAGTGTCTGAAAGCGCTATACTGGATTTGATGTTTTGAGTCAGGTACAATGGTATCTGTACTTCGCCTCACCTATAGTGGGGCATACAGGGTCATACAGTGCCAGTGTCAGTAGTAGGAGTCTAAAAATAGCTTGTTCAGTCACCCGCTGCATCTTGGTTGACTATTGGGTTCTGGGGATTGCTACTAACTCTCCGTGCTATTCTAATCTGTCTACGTACAGTCCAAGGTTGCACCTGTCTATCTCTCTGACAACGATTCTGGGGGTATTGACTCAGATGAGGGTTCTGGGTTGTGAATGAAAAATCGCAAATCTGGTTGTATCTGGTTTTGACCTAAACTGACCTAGGACAACCCTCAGCAACCTACAGAGGCTGAGTGCTCTTCTGCCTATAACACCACGTCTCTTCTCATCAGGTGGTAGTGATTACATCTGTGTGTGTGTGTAATCTTAATCTTTGCGCACCTCCTATCTGCGTGTTTATATTTATTGAATGTGTGAGTGGACTATTATGTCGGACACTGAAGGCAAGATGCATGAAGGAGAGGCTGCGGTAGAAACTTCTGCCAATCCTGAGCCTCCTCTTTCCCCTCTGGATCAGGCATTGCTGATTGCTGAGGAAGCTAGGCGAAAAGTTGATGAACAGATCACCAAGCTCAGGAAGGAGAAAGAGGAAGCTGAGGAGAGAGGGAAGCAAGAGGAAGGGAGGAGAAAACTTTTGGTGGAGGTAAAGAAAGTTGTTGACAGTGGTTCTGCCAGTGGATGCAACAAGAGTATTGCTGAGATGGTCATCCTGAATGACACCCTCAGCAGATCTTACTTCTCTAACTGGGACCACCGGATCTCTGCTGTGGAGAGCCAGGTCTCTTCCATCGAACACAAGGTGGATCAGATGGCAAAGGACCTGACCTCTCTGGCAACAGGGATGAACAGCGTTCTGCAGCACCTCAAGCTGCCTATCCTATCCCCCCAGCCTGTACAGCCAGCTGGCCAGCTGATCACCCGGCCAGCAGGTTCACCACCTCATAGTCGTCTAGCCTCACCTGCTGGTTCCCATGCATCCACCCCCTCTGTTGCTTCTGGTACATCTGTGCAGCGAGGGCCCAAGCTGACACCACCTCCTATGTACTCTGGGGAAGACCCCAAGGTGGATGTGTCAGACTGGGTCACCACTATGCAAGCATACCTGGGCAGCTTCACATGCCCAGAAGCTACAAAAGTGGGGACCATTCTTGGCCGGTTGGAGAGGTCTGCACTGAAATGGTGCACCTCCTCTGCAACCAAAGAGAATGTGGCGATGGATAGATGGGCACAACAACTGGGGGTGGCAGGGTTGCTGAAGGCGCTGCAAGACCGGTTTGCTGACAGGGAGCAGGCCCGCAAAGCAGCTGATAAAATTATGCTGCTGGGGTCTCACAGATTTAAGGGCTCTCTGTCCAAGCTCTACAACCTATTTGAGAGCTTGACATCGACACCGGGTCTGCAACTCACCCACTTCCTGCGTGCAGCACCTCCCGACTACTCGATTGCTTTGTATGCTCAGGGCCACAAGGACTGGAGGTCCTTTGGCAAAGCGACACTGGACCTAGAGTCTCGGCTGAAGGTTCAGACTCCTTTTGAAGGAAGGAAGAGGCCTACCTCCCAGGGACAGCGCAGGAGGAAAGGCGCTCTGTTGGCTGCTGATGCAGGTTCTGATTCTGCGTGGCAGTCCTCCATCTGAGACTGCATCAGGATCAGCAGTTGAGCCAGCCGTTCTTGCCCTGGCTGAAAATCTTGCTGCTATGTTCAAGGGAAAGTTCAGCAAAGACAGCAGCAAGGGTTCAGCCAACCAGAAGGGGAAAGGGAAGGGACGTGCCACTTCCCCTCAGGCCCAGAGACCAAACTTACCACGAGACGTCCATTGGCCAGTCAACGTCATGGATCCTTCCACCCTTCCCTGGAGAGCGCTCAGGATCCAGGAGGGGCAGTGGTAGAGGAGGAAGGACCGTGAGGTTTGTTTTTGTTGCGAGGGGGACCACTTCTGAAAGGATTGTCCCCGCATGCCTCGCAGACCTGGGTTTAGTCCAAGAAACTAGACCAACAGAGGGAAGTGGAGTCTGCAGCTCCCTCCACTTATGCTGAATCAGATTCAGATGGGTCTGATTCTGCATCCACCCTCACTGACTCTGTTGGAGTTGCTGTGTCAGGGTTCTTCACTTACATGGACCCTGACGTGGATGAGACGTGGCAGGAAGATGATAGTCAGACTTTTGCTGATCTTTTCTTGTCTTTGCAGGAAAAGAAAGTATAAATCAGACCTCATCTTACTGCGACCCTCCATCCTGGGAGCCAAGATCAAGGGCCTGTTAGACTGTGGGGCTACCCGAAACTTTATCTCTCCCAAAGCTGTCAGCAAGCTGCATCTGGATGGGAGATTGGTGAAGTTGCAACAGCCATTAGAAGTCCGAATTGGGGACTGTCTTTGCAGGAAAAGAAAGCATAAATCAGACCTCATCTTACTGCGACCCTCCATCCTGGGAGCCAAGATCAAGGGCCTGTTAGACTGTGGGGCTACCCGGAACTTCATCTCTCCCAAAGCTGTCAGCAAGCTGCATCTGGATGGGAGATTGGTGAAGTTGTAACAGCCATTAGAAGTCCGAATTGGGGACTCCTCCACAGTCCGGATTACATCTGATGTCAAGAACCTACCGGTTACCTTTGACAAGCAGGAGAAGGTCAGGCAGCGCCTAAACTTCTATGTTTCTTAATGTACCCTTTGATCTTGTGTTTTCCATGCAGTGGCTTGAGGCCACTAACCCTAGGATCGACTGGCAGATCCCTAGGGTAGAGCTCCCTGACTGTCGAGGGGACTATCAACCTTGTGTCCTGGCTGATGAGTACCATCCAGTCAGCAGTTGTTATTGTATGAGGGCACACGAGTTCTTTCAGCTCTCTCGCCAGACTGCCCACACACGTCGGTTCGTAGCATATGTGAAACATACTGGTGTGGAGGTTGCTCCTTGTCCCTCACCGATTCAGCAGGTTTTGGACCGGTATCCAGACCTGATGCAGGAGCCTACTGGACTTGTCCATAGGCAGACCCAGCACAGGATTGAGCTCTTGCCAGGTGTGGTCCCTCCCAAGGGCCGTGTCTACAGGATGTCACCTGCTGAACTTGATGAGCTCAGGAAACAGCTTGAGACCCTGACCAGCAAGGGCTGGATCAGACCCAGCACATTTGAATTTGGAGATCCTGTTCTCTTTGTTCCAAAGGGAAATGAAGAGTTCAGGATGTGTGTGGACTACAGAGGTCTCAACAAAATCACTAGGAAGTCTACAGAGCCCCTTCCTAGGATTGATGATCTGCTGGATATGGTGCAGGGCTGCACAATCTTCAACAAGATCGACCTCAAATCTGGTTACCACCAGATTGAGATGGCTGAAGGCGATGTCCATAAGACTGCCTTCAAGACCAAATACGACACCTATGAGTACCTGGTCATGCCTTTCGGTCTTTGCAATGCCCCTGGCACATTCCAGACAGAGATGCATCGCATACTTAGGCCTTACCTGGACAGGTTTGTGGTTGTGTACCTGGATGACACCCTGGTATTCAGTCGATCTGTCGAGGAGCATGCACAACATCTGGCTCTTGTTCTCCAGGCACTACATGAGGCCCAGTACAAGATCAACAAAGAAAAGTCCTCCTTTGGAGTAACTTCTGTGACTTATTTGGGACATGTAATCTCTGGGGAACGGTTGGCTCCTGAAGCGCCTAAGATTGCAACGATTCAGGATTGGCCACAGCCTACCACAGTTCGTGATGTCCGGTCATTCTTGGGTCTTGCATCATACTACAGGAAGTTCGTCAAGAACTTCTCTGCTATTGCTGCACCCCTGACTGATCTTACAAAGAAAGACACCCACTTTCTTTGGACATCAGACTGTCAGCAGGCTTTTACATGCCTCAAGGAGGCCATGATGCGTGCACCTGTTTTGAAGTTACCTGACCCTACCTTGCCTTTCGTACTAACTACTGATGCTAGTCAGTATGGGGTTGGGGCGGTACTTCAGCAGGATGGTGGGCATGGTCTGCAGCCAGTGGAGTACATGAGTAAGAAGATCAAAGTCAAGAAGCTGCAGGATTCCACGTACGAGAAAGAGCTCTATGCTCTAGTGTCAGCGCTAAAGCATTGGAAGCATTTCCTCATAGGCAGGCACTTCCAGATCTATTCTGATCACTCCACCTTGCAGTGGATGAAGACCCAAGGGGAACTGAATGACAAGCTCGCGCGCTATATTCAGTTTATTGATCTTTTTGACTTTGAACTGAAACACAAGAAGGGCTGCTACAATCGTGTAGCAGACGCCCTTTCTCGTAGGCCTGACGCTGTCTGTATGATTTCCTCTACTCGTACCTTTGGGGAGAGTACCCGTCAGACCATTGCCCAACTATTACCACAGGACCCGACTTTTGGCCCGATCGTTAGGAATCTGCAAACTGATCCTGCCTCTGAACCAGGATATATTCTGGTCTCAGATCTGCTGTATACTTGCAGCAGAGGAGAGGAGCGTCTGTGCATCCCTCAGGACCGCCCGCTGAGAACACTCATGATGTTTGAGACTCATGAAGCTCGCGGCCACTTTGGGGCCTTCTGGCCAGAGATGAGGAAAGATATGCTGCACTATGTTGAAACCTGTGAGCTGTGCCAAAGGAACAAGGTCGTGCGCCGACCTCCCCTTGGCCTACTACAACCACTTCCCATTCCTGAGGCACTTGCACAGTCAGTGTCTATTGACTTCACTGATCGTGGAGGACTACCCCTCGTGGTATGCGTCAGGTTATGGTGTGTGTTGATAGGTTCTCGAAGTATGCAGAGTTTATTCCTCTGCCAGAGGAAGCCAGAGTCCCGGCCGTACGAGCGGCCTTTGCTGACAGGTGGGTTACTCACCATAGACCACCCACCTCCATTGTCAGTGATAGAGATCCGCGGTTCTGCAACAATGAATGGCAGTCCTACTGCAAGGACTACCTTCATTCTAGGCTGAATATGACATCTGGCCATCATCCTGAAGCCAATGGGCAGGCTGAAGTGATGAACCAGATTCTCTTTCAGCTGCTGTGTTCTGTGATCAGCCCTAATCAGCAGGATTGGGATCTCCATCTAGGACGGGCACAACTAGTGTACAACACGTCTGTACACTACTCCACAGGGTTCACCCCTTACCGGTTGCACTGGGGACGTGAACCACGGCAGCCTCTCGATGACATCATCGATAAGGCTACTCCCAGACAAACTCCTGGGACTGCAGAGTTCACCAGGCAGTACCAGAGGGATATCGAGCGAGCCAGAGTTAACCTGCTCAAAGCCCAAAAGGCTATGATTCAGCAGGCTAACAAGCATCGTCGACCATCCCCCATTTGCGCTGGTGACTGGGTCTGGGTACTCAGTTCTGAGCTATCGCGGGAGGAAGACATTTCGCCTAAGCTGTTGCCGCGTTACATGGGTCCATGGCAGGTTTTAGATACAGTGGGGACTGACCCTTTCGGGCCATCCTATCATGTAGATGTCCCACTGCACCTACAAACCTACCCTGTCTTCCATGCATCTAAGTTGTTGCCTTTTACGCCAGCTGATGCATTCCCAGACAGGCCTCCACAATTCGGTCCCCCGATCCCTGGGAAGGGATATGAGGTGGAAGAAGTTGTGGATGAGTATGGTACAGGCCTGGATAAGGAGTACCTTGTGAAGTTCCTTTACCAGCCCCATACAGAGGACCGCTGGTTCACTTGCAAGGAGCTCCTGAAAACAACAAAGTCAGTTATCCTCAAATATGAGGCTGCGCAGAAGAGAGAGCCCCTTCGACGCTCTGCACGCCTACGCCCCTAGCTCGGAGGTCCTCGCTCCGGGGGAGGGTAGGTCTGCAATGACTTGCCGTTTCCATGTTGCATGTGGCCTCGCTCTGTCGAGGCTGTACTATAGTCAGGGGTAGATTCGTAATTTTGTTGGCTGAGGGCTAACCGAGAGACCTGCCTGTGTGGAAAACTCGTGAGGGTAATATCTGTAAGTATAGAAATATGGTCCCTGTATTAACTCGATTTTCCTACAGCTACCCTAACTGCGAATAGAAGACCCGGGCTACCCCTAGGACAGACAGGCCGTATGGGCCTACGCTGATAGACGGTCCTATAGCCTATAGCCGGGTAGGGAGAGGCCCTAGAGGCCGAAACTGAAACGGTACCGGTCGGTCGGTCAGTCCGGTCTAGGTTGGTCTAGGCTAGTGTAGAGTATAGGTAGGATGGGGACCCAGGGCTTTTGGCAGTTGACACTTCGTGGTGGAAGTTGCTGCGCACACGGTATCAGGCCGTGGTTGCTGATTCCGGTGCTGGACACGGCGGACA